TTTTTTTTTTTTTTTTTTTTTTTTTTTAGACAAGTCACACCAACACACAAGTCAGCAATTCTTCTACTTGCTGGGGTTTATCTCAACTGGATCTTTGATGCTTCCTTGGGATTCTTCTATACATGCCCTTTGCCTGTTTTCATGTTCCCCATTCTCACACCTGGTGGAGAGGGGTCTTTTCGCCAAATAACACACTGTAGTTATTACTACGAGAGGCGATCGACATTAGGAAGATAGAAGCTGCATTCTCTTGGGAGGACCCTGGCCGAGACCCCACACTGCTCCCATAGAATAAACATGGACTCTCCAGGCTCAGCACAGGGACAGAGCTATCTGCAGTTGCCTCAGGGAAGGGAGGAGGGAGCTGGAAGCCTGAGCGCAGTGCAGAGAACCAGATAGGATGGGAAGAGGAGGCCAAGCGAGGAGAAGACTCTGGCTCCCATTCCAGTGGGTCTGGGGGCAGCGCGGGGTCATCTGCTGGGTGGTTGTGGCTGAGAAATAGATCATTCCCGCCATTGGACCAGTTGACTTGCGATCAAGGTGGGTAAGACTGGGCCCCTGTGATAGCAGGCCAGTGTTATGGGTGAGGAAAAAAGGCCCCGCATTCCTTCCTAACCCAACCTCTCCTCACAGAGGCTTTCATATGCCTGTTCCTAGGTTGCATCTACTTCAGGGAGAATCTGGCCACCTTCAGATGGGGCCCCTCCTCTTCCTTCATTGCAGATGCAGTAGTTCACCGTCATCTGTTCTCATCTCTTTAGTTCAGCAACAGCAAAAAAAAAAAAAAATAATAATAATGGTTCCTTACTCTTCTTTCAGATTAATTATTTTAGTTGTATGATGGATCTCATTGTTCCTAGGCATCTTGATCCATTAATTATCCTGTTTCTCTTTCTTTCTTTTTTTTGGGGGGGGCGGGGTACCAGGTATCAAACTCAGGTCCTTGCACTTGCGAGGCAGTCACCAGAACCACTGAGCTAAATCCCTGGCCCGCTCTCTCCTGTTTTTCATTTTGGTCTTTCTCATATTTTGTAGCATTTAAGCACGCCCAGATTTCTTTTATATTAAAATATTCCTGTCTGAGGCAGGAGGATAGCTGTGAGTTTGAGACCAGCCTGGGCTACATAGTGAGTTCCAGGTCAGTCTCAACTACATAGTGAGACCCTGTCTCAAAAAACATAAAAAAAAAAAAAAAAAAAATTTCTCAACTGCACAGATTCCTTTAGCTATTACTTTTAGCTTTCTCTCTCACTCTCTAGTTCCAAGCTTTTTGAAGAAGGCCAACTTGCCCTGCTGTAATGTGCTCACCTTATTAATTCTCTCACTGGTATTGTCTGGTCTCTGTCCCCACTATGTCCCTGAAACCCCTGTCTCAATGCAGTCACCAATGACGAGTCAGTAGCTACACTGCATTATATTTCTTATCATAACTGATTTCTAGAAGAGCTTCCTTCTTTTTGTGCATTTCCCGCCAGAGATCCGGAAACCATCCCTAAGTCTCTCTAACACTTGCTATTCCAGAAATTTGCTGATCACTGCCTTTGCATGCTGGCCTCTGTTATCATCTCCAACAGTGCTCTGTTATCCTTTCCAACCTCAGAATTTGGGAGAGAGGAAATGAATCTCCTGTTTCCAGAAATGAATCTCGATCTCCTTCATCTAATCAGGACTCCCCATCTTTCTGGATGCAGTGTTGGTTCAGGGATGAGCCAGGACCCCAAGTCAGGCCAGTCAAGGTCACTGAGAACCAGTTCTAAAACCATGGTTGACCCATGACAGACGCGAACCTACTTGTTACCCCATGGGGTACACAGCATCAGGAGTGGCTGGTAGCTGCCTTGGTCTTTATTTATTTATTTATTTATTTATTGTACTGGGAATCAAACTTGGGACCTTGCACTTGTGAGGCAGGCAGTGGAATCATAGTAGCTGTCTTGGGAACAGCTACTATGAAATGGAGAAGGGCAAATAATAAGTCCTAGGTCATAGGTATCTAGGTCCATGAACGCTTTTGTTTGCAAACAATTTGGCTCACAAACAGTAGCATTTGGCACAATTTTGTTTCTGTTTGCAAACTCTGCATCAAGTGACAAACCAGACCACAGTCATTTCTCCCACACAAACCATCTCTGCTAAAATTGTGGAACAAATTAAGTTTGTGAAGTAAGGCACCACAGTACTGAGAACTGGATAAAAACTTTTCTGAAGCTTCATACCTATTTCAGTTGTTTTAGCTAGTAAATATTTTTGTTTTCTTCTGTTTCAGTCATTCCAGATCACAATTTTCATCAGAAAGAGTTCTAATTGACCTAAGCACCTTCATCAAAATAATTGCCTGTGGTTTTCATTCATGAACAAGGTTCAGGAACTCGGACTCAGAGGGTAAGACGCGAAATCACCAAGCAGACTCTGGGGAGGTTTCTGGAACTATTCCACTTTTAATAAGTTCATCCAGCAATTATAAAGTTTTGAAAGAGGGAGTGGCAAAGGGGGATAATATATTTGGCTTAACAGGATTTGTTATTGGAGTGCCCTTGGACAGGCGATGGAGGCATCCTACTGGGGGGATGGGCGAGGCCGAAGATAGACATAGACAAGGCTCAACGCACAAGTTAGGCCTCTACTAGTGTGCTAGGAGACATATGAGCAGTGCACTTGTCCCAGCCAGACTTGTACCTCGCTGACAATTTCCCCAATATTGTCCATAGCATTTAGTAAGTCTGCTTACACTTTTTAATGAGAATTTGTTTATGAATTTGTTCAACTCGAGCTGAACAGTGAGGGAAGTTATTGAATTTGCCAACAGCTCTATGCATAGTAAGGAAGCATCATAGCTGATTGACTCAGCAGCCCAGTGACATCACCAGATTCAGGAGCTTTTCCTTTCTATCTGCTGTGACATCGTCATTGTTGGCTTAATCATTCACGCTGGTGACAGGATGGGTGCAGCAATGACTCATCCAGGGAAGAAAGCAGTCTTTCTATGGCTTTCTCTTATCACCCAGGAAACCTGTCCCTGAAGGCTCAGATCTCCTTGGCCATAATTGGGTCCCAAGTCAGCTCAGGAAGGAGATCCCTGGCTGTGGGCTTCTCTTCTGGAACATGGGTCTGTGGAAGGGAGTGGTTTGGGAGAAAAAAGAGAGAACTGGGAAAGAGGGAAGCCATTGGGGCCCACTACTGTCACTCACAGGGATTTCCTTAATCCAGTCAGTAATAGTTTTCCATGTGCAGGTTGTGCATATAAGATATTTTGATACACTTGGCATTTTATGGTTTTTGATGCCATTTTGACCTGCCTCCTGCTGATTCGATCTCTCTGGCCCCATCCTTTGCCATTCATCTCCTCACAGTGGGCCCTCTGGCTCTGGGTCTTCTTGTCATGCTACCCATTCACTGCACATCCAGGGCCTCTCAAGAGTGCTGCTGTCTTCTTTGGTCCAGGAGACCTTCCATGTCCTCAACTTGCAGGACTCCTTCTACTCATTGCCTTCTTATTGCCGCTGAGAATCCTCCCTGACTCCAAGGCTTGGCTGGGGCCACTCTTCCCGACACACCTGCGCCTGTCCTGGAAGTGTTCGTCACATCTCATTGGGTAACCTCTTTCCTTCTTGGTTTTCAGGACTAGAGTTAACCTTGAGTTCAGTGACCCAGCTTGGTCTTTGATGTATTACCCAGTGACTGGGGCAGCACAGACACTCAATATTTTAAAAAATAAATTTCTAAATGACATCACTTTCTAAAATCTGAGAATGCCCAAAGGGTCTGGAGGTACTAGTTGTTGACCTTTTTGGTCTCTCTTCATTTTTTTTTTTTTTTTTTTTTGGTATCGGGGGTTGAACGCGCTTCTTTGTGCTTGCAAGGCAGGCCACCAAACCTCTGAGCTAAATCCCCAGCCCCTTCATTTTTTTCTGTTTGAAGCTAGTACTTGATCAAGCATTAACTTTATGTCGGGCACAGATCAGAATATTCCTTCAGCCCTTCACACTAACATGTTATTCTTCTTTTCAATGACAACTCAAAGAATTTTCTTTTATAGTTTCTTTCTTCACAGTTTAAGCTCTTGAAAATTATTGGCTTCTAAACTTCTATCAGCTCAAAGTAATTCAAAGTTATTGATGTCATGAAGTATTTCTAAATAAATTTTATTTAGATGAATAGTTTATTTAGCATTGAAGGCACCCCCACTTCTTCTGGCACACTTTCCTGTGAGCCTCAGCTAAGTTAGATACCCACACATCCCCTCCACACACAAGGTGTAGGGCTTCCCAATTCTGTCACATTCTTTTGTTACCTCCTTCAGCCCCAGTGTGAGGAAGCACTCATCTGTTTGCTTTTCCTAGAGTTTCATGTGGATGGAATCCTACAGTATATGTCATCTGGTCCAGTGTCTGTGTGAATATTCTATCCATTTTTCACTGTGGTGTTTGCCTTCTTATTGAGTTGTAAGGTTCACTTCTGTGTCTGAATGAATCAATGCCAGGCACACATATTGTGAATATTTTTTCCCAGTCTGTCACTTGCCTTTTCATTTTCTTAACAGAGTCACTGGAAGAGCAGAAGTTTTACAGTCTTATGAAGTTCAATGCCTCAAAGTTTTCTTTTATGGTTTATGTGTTTGCATTCCCAATTGTAAATATTTTCTCCTGTGTTTTCTTCTAGAAGTCATATAGTTTTTAGTTTTTACAGTTGGGACAATGATCCATTTTGAAATTTTTTGTGTGTGAGTTGAGATAAATGTGAAGGTTTATGAAGATTGCCTTTTCTGCATTGAATTACCTTGACACCTTTCATTACAGTCAGCTGACCATGCCCAAGGGGTCTATTTCTGGACTCTATTATGTTTTATGGATTTACATATCTTTCCTTATACCAGTACTACACCTTCTTGATTATTGTAGCTTTATTTTATTTAGGACTGAAAACGAGATAGTACCAACTCTAAAATTGTTTTAAAGGCATCTTTTATCTATATTACAATTTCTGTAAGCAAGGCTGCTGACATTTTTTTTTCAGCTTTAATTGAGTTTATTGGTACATTTTAGGGATACAGTACAGTTACATTCATTGTTGGGATCTTGTACCTCTACATGACAAGTCTTGATTCTCGTGTTTTCCCCTTACCCCTGCCCTCCCTTCACCCCCTCCTCCCCTCCCCATCTACAAACACTTTATTTCCATCTTTTCATTAAGGCTGCTGACATTTTGATTGCGGTTATGTTGAACTGTTAGATCAGTTTGGGAAGAATCAATGTCATAACAATATTGAATCTTGCAGTCCATAATCGTGGTATACCTTCCCATTTATTGAAGTGTTCTTTCATTTCTCTTAGCAGCATTCTATAGTCTTCTATGTACGGGTCTTACATCTAACATATTTTGTTGCAACATAAATATTTTATGGTTTTGATGCAATCAAAAATGACAGAGATACAACTGATTTTTATACATTCATCCCCTACTTTTGGCTTTGTTAAAGTCACTTAATATTTATGGTTGCTTTTTTGTAAGTTCCTTAGGATTTATCACATACACAATTGTGCCACCGATGAATAAAGACAGTTTTACTTCTTTTCAAATGTGTATGCCTTTTATTGCTTTATTGAACTGGCTAGCGCCTCGGAAGCAATGTTGACTAGAAGCAACAAGGCTGCATACACCTTCCTTTTTCTTGATCCTGGAAGAGAAATGTCCAGGCTTGTGATCATCTGCATGATACTCGCTGTGGTTTGTTTCTGTACATGTCATCTCTCAGGTTGAGAAAGTTCCTTCTCTTCCTAGGGTGCCAAAGGTTTGTTTGTTTTGATATTAAGCATGCATTGAATTTTGTCAAATAGCTTTCCTTTCTCTATTGAGAAGGTCCTATGAGCCTCTCAGTAGAATGAACTGCACCACTTAATTACAGACTTTGGCTTCAAAAAGTCTTACCCTACATATGTACAGTTTAGGATTCAGCAACTGACTCAAAGGAGGAGCCTTGTAGGTGTCTGGTGCCTTTTCTCTGTGCAGCTCCTTTCTCTGCAGTGCTTTGTCTCAAGACTTTCAGTCTCTTCACCTCCCAGACTCAGTGTGATTACCAGATTCTGCCTGGGTTCCATCTCTGCATAACTTCTGGAAAGTACTTCTAGGTAGAGAGCCAGGGTGATCCCAGGATTTACCTCATTCATTTTCCCTTTCTAAAAGATCATCATTCTGCCCCATTTGCTCCCCAATGCTGCTATGTATATAATACACATTATGGTAACAAAACAAAAGGGATTATCCCGATCTGCTTGAATTTTGAAGTTGCCTGTAAACATCCATGATGGTAAGGCATCATATGTAAGGCAACATATGGTAAGGTAACATATGTTCTTTTCTCCAATTTCTGAATATTTAGGGATTGTTTTTGTCTCTGTGAGTGTTAACTAAAGATGTACCTAATGTACTAATTCTTGACCTTTTTAGCCGTTCTTTATTTTCTTCTTTATTGAAGCTGGTATTTCATTGGGTGTTAACTCTGTGTTGGGCACAGATCAGAATTTGACTTGTATTACACTCTTACCATGGATTGGTATTACATTTACACAGGCAAAATTTTATCTCCTCCTTGATGAACATGGGGATGCGATTATTAACTGGTGACATGACTTACCCAAGATCGGTGACAGAATCAAAATTCACCTCTGATCTGAGAATCTGGCTTTCAACTGTCCCAGGGCAATCTCCTTCTGAATTTGTGATAAAATTACTCATGGATTTGTCCTCAGAAATGAGGTCACAGACTTGTACAAACAAAAATGCATGTTCAATTTCAGGGCCCCAGAATCTTCCCACTCCAAGGCCTGCTCACAACGGCAGCAAGGGGACCCCACTCTATGTAAGCAGCCAACGTCACTCACTGTCATCTAATGTCATGGAATTGAACTCTCCGTCTTAATTCCTAGTGGTTCTGAGATACTTTTCATGATTACAGTCAACCTTGCAAGACCACCACTGCCTCCTGTGGTGCCTTACAGAGGTGAATCAGCATGTGTGTGTCCTGCCTGGTGACGCCATGTCCAGGGATAACACTGAGGAAACCGATTCCAAGAATAATGGTATGTTTCAAATTACTTATCTGGTTCCATAAAAGGTCACCACCAGGACTAACTCCATCACAATTTGAATCTAAGCCTGGAAGTGACCCGATACTGCTGGGCAGGCCCCCTAGTCCACTGGCTTTCCCATTTCCCAGGTGGGTATTTGCAGTTCCAGCTCATTTCTGAGATCTCTTTCCCTGTCTTTTCTTTTAGCTGATGACATTGCTTCCTCTTTTCCTGAGAAAATTCTCTGATGGAAATAAATAATGTCTACAAGCTCCCAGCGACATCTGTCCACCTACTGTATCTATTTGGTAATTGTTTCCTCTCCCTTTCTGTAGAATAACTGTCCCTTTCCAAGGTCAGTCCTTTCTTGTGGATCTTATATTTCTTTCTCTCTTTCTTTCTTTCCTTTTTCTTGCTTCTTCAAGAACATTGCTCTCATTTTTCCCTCTTTTTACTACATCAACAATTTTCCCTTTTCTACTGAATCTTTTCCATTAGCATATAAACATAGCTTTCACCTTTAAAAAACATATTCTTACTCTCATCTGTCTTTAATCTACTCCACTGTTCTGCTCCCCTTGACACCAAGTCTTAAATTGTTTTTAACCACTAACATCAGTTCTCCCTCAGTCTCTTTTCCACTCTTGTTATGGTTTATATCTAGATTTTCCCCAAAGCCTCCCATACTCAGAGTTGCAGCAGAGCAGAGCAGCTCAGTGCTATAGGCAACTGTGACAGCTCAGTGTCACAGCTCAGAAGCATGGCTGAGCTTTACAGCTCAATGTGATGGCTCTGGAACACAGCTCTTACAATTTGAAAGCTGGAGAATCTGGTGGTCAGTTGAAGAGACGAGGGGGAAAAAAAAAAGACAACAGCAAGCCCCCAGTGTGCTCAGAAGAGTCTGAGTGCTCTTCTAGAAACAAGTGATTCCTTATATAGGGATCTATATGGTAGTCAAGCATGCTCACTGAGGCAGGGGCGGAGCTACAGAACATTCCTGAAGCAGAGGGTTGAGGTTACAGAACATTCCTGAGAGAGGGCAGAGCTTAACAGAACCTTCTTGTGAGGGGGTGGAGTTTAACAGAACATTTGGGCGCAAACTGAGGAGTTACAGAACATTCCTGAAGTAAAGGGGTGGAGTTACAGAATATTCCTGAGAGGGGGTGGAACTTAACAGTACCTTCCTGAAAGCTCACACAGTTCAAAGAGCCACAAACCATCTTGATATAATGGACAGGAGCCCAGCAGCACAAACTTACATTCCACAACAAAATATTCTGTGGGGAAAAAAAATGGAGGCAAGACAAGGGCCTGTCTTATTGTACAGCCTTCCTTCTCTGTCAGTAGGGGGCCTTGTGGGAGGTGACTGGATCCTGGGCACATGATAACTCATCGCTGGATTAGTCCACTGATGAGTTTACATCTATAGCTAAGTGCGATTTTGGGAGGTGAAGCTGGGTTGGGGAAATGGGTCACTGCGGTGAGGCCTGCAAGGGTTCATCTCCCTCCCTCCTCCCTTCATCTCTCTCTGCTTCCTGTCTGCCATACTAGAAGCTGTTTCTCCTCTGTGATGCCCCTTTGCTGTGTTGCCCAGTCTAGGAGCCAGCCCATTACGGAGTGAAACCTCCACACACTGTGTCAAAAGAAACCTCTTCCTTCAACTTGTGCGTGTCAGGTATTTTGTCCTAGCAATGTGAAGAAAACTAAGACAACTCCTTTTTTTCTAAATCTGACAGTCAATTTAAAATTTCTCCTTCTTTGCATCCTGTTAGCAGTGCTCACCCCAGCTGATCTACCCGTTTTGCACTATAGCCCCTGCGTTCTCCCGATTTTCTTACCTTGCCAGCTGCTCCCTCTTGGTTCCTTTGCAGGCTCTTCCTTCTCTTTCTGGCCTCCCATCATGAAGCACAAGCTCTGAGTATTTCCTCTTCTCCTTCTACCTTGGTGTTCAAGTGCTCTCCTCCAGTCTTAGTCACCTTCTTTGTCACTGAAACACAATACCCCACACCTGCAACTTAAAGGAGGACAGGCTTATTTTGGCGATTTCAGTGCAGAAATGGCCTGGCAGAAGGGTCAGGGTGAAGGAAAGCTGCTCATTGCCTGGCAGCCAGCGAGCAAAGTGAGAAAGCAGGTGCCCCCCCACCAGCTTCGGTCTCCAGCCAGACCCCCTCCCAACAGAAAGTTAGCGATGGCGGCCCATTATCCAATGGCCTTCTGCACTCAGGGGAATCTGGGGCACGCCTTAGATCTGACCACAACATCCACCCTAATGGCTGTCCAGGTGATTTGGGTGGTGCCTGGAGATATTTTTGGTTGGCACAGCTGGGCACTGGTGCTACTGGTGTCTCTGGAACAGAGACCAGGATGCTCTGAAGCATTCTTCAGTGTACAGGACAGCCCTCCACAGCACAGCAGTAACTTGTTCAAATGCTAGCAGGGCTGAGGATGGGAACCTTGGCCTACCTAACCTCTTCTCTGCGCTTTCAATGTACACATACAAAACCCTTATTTGTATTGATTTCAAACCTCAATCTTAACACCCCACACTGGAGGTTTGATCCCCTGGTTTTAGCTCAACTTCTTTAGAAAACAGAATCTGAGACAGGGCTTACGTACTAATTGATGGCTTTGTACCAGGTGTGAACTAAGGTAGTGAGCATAAGGGAACAGGGAAATGAGACAGGAAACAATAGGGCCAGCTTGAAGATTGAAGGTGACAAGTTACAAGCTGGTGGTCCCTGCTTTCTGAGCAGAGCCATGACCTGTCATGACAGCAAGTGGTTTGCTTGCCACGAGGAGAGTAAGGGTGGGAAAGGAGATCTCTGGGAGCTCATCCTGGCTTGTTCCCTCCCTGGGGAGCCTCCTATGAACTACTGCACCCAGAGCTGTAAGGCTCACTGCAGTCTGGAGGAACCCAGATCCTAGGGGCGAGCACAGCTGCCCTTGGAGTTGGCTCTTCCAGGAGCACCTGCCCCGGAGAGACTGCAGCCCATCGTGGTGGACGTGCACAGGGCCCGGACTTTGTGTAGCTCCCAGGCAGGTGGGAGGAAGTGTCCAAGAACTCCTCCAGGGCATGGCAGCAGCCATGTGGTGATGAAGGCCATGCCCAAGAGAGCCTGATGAAGGTTCCTCTCCCCTCGCAGACCCAGCCTTTCCATCTGGAGCCTCATTTCAAACACTACTCCGCAGGCTCCCACCCAGAACTCACTGCCTAAGCCACTTGGTAACTTCAAATGTGCGCACAGCCACAGCCGTCTCCAAAATCCAAATTATGTTCAATTACACTGATGCAAGTCCTTCAGTATCTTCCCACTGTACTCAAAATGAATTGAAATTTTCTTCCTGCTGGCTAAGAGGATGTGCCTCACCTGGCCTCTGCTTACCTTCCTGTCCACTTCTATATTTCCTCGGTGACATATTTCTACCCATACTGATCTGTCATTCCTCAGTATACTGAATTGGCTCTTGCTCTGGGACCTTTGTGTTTGTGTCTGATCTTCCTATTCGTGACTGTTACTCTCCTTGGGGTATTTTGTTCAAATGATACCTCCGTAGAGAGGCAAATCTGTGTGTCATTCTTTAGCCCTTCTTACTTTTCTTTACCTGATATTCTAATAGGTGGCTTGTTTAATGTCTCTATCTCCATCAGAATGTGAGCTCCCCAGGGCTCCAGACTTCCTCCTGTATCTGTTATTCCCAAGTCTCAGGTGCTAAAACTGTCTGGGCTCCTACGGGGGAGGGCAAGTATGTACTGAGTGAATTAATATCCTCAGACCCTCACCAGTGGAGCTTCTCCCTCCGGAATGCTGAGCTAATCCAACAACTCTCTTCCAATTTCTTGGAGGGGCAGCCGGGAACTAGTGTCCGGCCCCACAAGACCGCTGAATTGAGGGTCCTGGGACTATGTAGTCTGAATCTCTTTTGGCAAAGCGATCTCCAAGGGCGGAATAGGAGCGCTCTGGGAAGCTGGGAGGCAAGGGCCCCGCAGGGAGGGAGCAGGCTTATGGAAGAGGGGTGCAGCAGCACCGGAGAAACAGGAGGGCCTGGAAGCCCCGTTTATTAGGTGCGGAGTGTTCAGTCCCAGCCCACTCTAAACCCCAGCAGGACAGGAACGAATTCCAGGGATTTGAGAGTAGCCCTGGGACGAGCTTTACATTCATTTCTTCTTGGGGATTTCCTTTGTGCAATAAGGCAGTAGTACAGAAGTAGTTACTGGGTGGAAGGGCACGAACGTGTAGGTGGGAGGTGGGAAAAGGGCAGTGTCATTTGGAAAGGAGGAGATCACACAGGAGAACTCATTGTTCGTAAAAGAAAGGCCGGGTATTAATCCGGAGGAGAGAGAACAAGCACTTTTACGTTCTGAAAGCAATGCTGGGGTCTGACTCTGGAGGAGGAACTTAACTGGTTCCACCCCGGGACGACTGCACCGCCCGGGCCAACCCGCAAGCCCGTGCCTACCCAAAGCCTCCGCCGAGCCGCGATCCCCGCGTGGACCAGAGCGGAGGGATGGG